CCCCCGCCAACTGTACCCCCCCCCCCAACTTCCCCCCCCCGCCAACTGTACCTCCCCCGCCAACTGTACCTCCCCCGCCAACTGTACCTCCCCCACTAACTGTACCTCCCCCGCCAACTGTACCTCCCCGTGACGTCTCCCCGGTGGAAGCAGACAAAAATCATCACAAGATAAAGGACCAGATGGGGAATTTTTTATTTTGTTTATAATTTCTATAACAATATCATCAATAAAGCACAAATATATATATGTGTATGTTATAGGTGGTCAGTCGAAATCATCCATGGCCACCTTAAAAGCGACGACTGAAACGAAATGGTATAAAAGAGATTCAATTATAAAGAAGACACACATACACACAAATAAATGAAATAAGACACAGACACACTAGACACACTAAGATAAATGAGCAAAATTTGTTACACGTTGACAGACGTCATCATATGGAGTTGTTCAAAATGTAATACGTACGCACTATTTCAGATTTCTTGAACATGGGGGGATTATAACATTTTTAAACATTTATATATATATATGATACAAAAACAAATTTTAGTAGTAATGTAGCAAGGCTGTAGACTGTAGTTACTCATCACTGCACGGACCTATTTCTATTGCCCAGTGTGTGGGTAAATTTGATTAGACTAGCTAAAAATTGACATGGCATTTCAAAATAATCCATGCGAAGCTGGTGTTGCATGACAACATTTTTTACCTCACATTTACTCAGCTGGATAAATACATCATCGGAAACTGGTTTTTAATTTTAGCTAAATAATTTTGGGGTCGAATAATAAATAGTATGTGCGTCCATATCATGTCTTTATTAGCCTACGATTATAATTTTTGAAGCAACTCAAGTTTGCACACGTGTGACATTTTAATGACGTCAAAAGGAACTTTTAAAAAAAAATTCTCCTCATGAATTATGACGTCATCCACACAAAGCGATGACGCGTGAGAAAAGTGCGTACGCTTGAAAGGAAATATTTGCTATGAAGGGAGTGAATCTTCCGCTATTCACAAGTGTTTCATCAAGCAAGAAGATTTGCGTCCCTTTACTTGCAGTTGTGCAGACGCATTGAAAAGTCGCGGCCAGAGCACACATCAGTGTGCAAATATTTCCGAACCTGGCAGTGCCGCTAGATAGACAACACTGCACGCCCTCGCGCGGAAGGATACATCATAGCGCATGTGTACCTTCCGGGGGGGAAGAGTTCAATATTTGCTTTGTGCGATATTCGTATACAAAGGGGGCTTTATTCGCTCACTGTATGTGTCACGGTGAAATTGTATTGCATTCTTTTTCTTATCAATACGTTTTTGATGGGCGAGACACTAAATTTAAAATCATGGCCAATCTCTGCATTCATTTTGAGATTGAGTGCGTTTTAAGATGCATTCAAATGTTTTAAAAGGGTGAATTCCAAAATTGTTTATATTTGGGTATGCATATAGATCATTTAGTAAGTACGCTCGTAATGTTGAATGAGAATTCCTTTTAGGGGAAGAACTCAATTTAAAAAATATATGACTGACTCAGCATTTAAGTGGTGGGTGAGAGACACACTTGGCGGATCAAAGTAAGTGCACCCATGTAAGTTACATATCGTCTATGTTACATATATACGCCGTGTCAGAGGATATTTTCGGCACATAGCTGTTTGCTGTTTAACAGTGAATGTGTTATAGAGAAACAGTACTGAAGAGATATAGACCAATTAGAGATATTGTGGGTTTGAAATATAAGCGATTCATTTATTAATAGAAGTTCCACAGCTGGCAATAGTCGATTTGTACCAGTTGTTGTCATGGCAGTCAAACATGACAGTCGAGCATGGCAGTCTAGCATGGCAGTCAAACATGGCAATCAAAGATGACAGACAACGATTTATAATGTACTTCAGTGCAAAGTGTGAGGTTTGAATAGAGCCCCGTTAGTTTGTAAGTATAAAACAGACATCTCATAAAGATGTTGCTTAAGCCGACAAAGAAATAGTCAAAGCAGATTTTGTGACCACGCGACAACACATGTATACAAGGAAGTTTTTGGAATCACGTGACAACACATGTACACAACGCAGATTTTGGAATCCCGGGCATACAAATTTACACAGAGAATTTTTTTGTAATCACGTGACCACACATTGATCATAATTCCTATGTTTATTATGGAGTTTTTAAAAATAATGTAAAAACAGGATTTTATGTTTGGGAAGCAATTGTTTCAGAATCCAATGAAACACACACTCACAGTAATAAACGAAGAATGCCCTCACACCGTCGCCAACAAAAAAAACCAAACAACAACATACACATATTCCTACACCAAAACACATGAAAATGAAACAGCAATAAAGTTTTCAAATATCTGGTATTTTTGTTTCAAAGACCAAACCTCCATGACAGCTAGTTCTTTGTGGTCTCCGATGTTGCAGTTGTAGATGGGAAATTCAAAGTTTCATTTTTTTTTTTTAAGTCATCATAGACCCTCAAGTAAAACTCACTTAAGGGAGATAACTTTTTAACGAGATAATATTTTACCACGATTATCAGTTGTTACGTTTGTAGAATCATTGGCTGTGAAGATATTAAGAGTATCATTGGCTGTGGTTATATTAAGAGTATCATTGGCTGTGGTGATACTAAGAGTATCATTGGCTGTGGTGATGCTAAGATTATCATTGGCTGTTAACATTACAGTTGTTGTATTTGGGGCGTGGCTTGTTTCAGACACTATGTCTGTATTAGGGGCGGGGCTTGTTTCAGAGACTATGTCTGTATTTGGGGCGTGGCTTGTGTCAGAGACTATGTCTGTATCCGTGTGGGCGTTTGTTCCTTGGGTCGTGATTGCCGAGACGGTAGCTACACTTTGAAGAGAGCTTGTGTCAGTGGTTTCAACGCGGGTAACTGATTGTGCTGTTACATTGTTCATTGGAGCTTCTGATTGGGTTGTAACATTGTTCATTATAGCTTCTGTAGCTTTAGTTGCCTCTTGACCTTGAGAGTCTGGAGTTTTAGTTGTTTCTTGACCTGGAGAGTCTGGAGATTTAGTTGTCTCTTGGCCTGGAGAGTCTGGAGATTTAGTTGTCTCTTGACCTTGAGAGTCTGGAGCTTTAGTTGTTTCTTGGCCTGGAGAGTATTGAGATTTAGTTGTCTCTTGACCTGGAGAGTCTGGAGATTTAGTTGTCTCTTGACCTTGAGAGTCTGGAGCTTTAGTTGTCTCTTGGCCTGGAGAGTCTGGAGATTTAGTTGTCTCTTGGCCTGGAGAGTCTTGAGCTTTAGTTGTCTCTTGGCCTGGAGAGTCTGGACAGAGCAGGTTGTTAACGATGTTGTCAAAAGCTGCTGGAAGAAGTCTGAAGCTCTTCGGGTCAAGGTTGCTGAAGTCATCGAGCGTGACGAACTGCTTTCCTCCGTTAACATGCAGTAACTCCTCGGTGTCAATTGGATAGATGCCCTGAAATATGAGATAGATGCCCTGAAATATGAGATAGATGCCCTGAAATATGAGATAGATGCCCTGAAATATGAGATAGATGCCCTGAAATATGAGATAGATGCCCTGAAATATGAGATAGCTGCCCTGAAATGCACCATTGTTGTATAATGTTAAATTAATCATTTCCTTGTGGTGTAATATTTCTTTTCGTCATAGGATAGCTGTCCTGATATAAGGATATGATGCCCTTAAATTTAGGATCTATGCCATGAAATATAGGATAGCTGCCCTGAAATAAAGGATAGCTGCCCTGAAATGAAGGCTGTTCTCTAAGAAATATAGAAAACCTGAACTGAAAAATAGGATAGCTGCCCTGAAATACACCATAGTTGTATAATGTTAAATTAATCATCTCCTTGTGGTGTCATATTTCTTTTCGTCCTCTGTCGTCATTAGATAATTTTTAGAGATTTCAGTGATAATGTTAAAAAATGCAGTCACATGCACAAAGTGGGGGGGGGGGGGTTGGGGGGGTTAACTCATTCCATTTATAAATAAAGAAATAAAATAATGAGTTTAAGTATTCAATGTCTCAGGCCACAATTCAATTTAACTGGGATCTAATGCGACTATACCGCTGCTGTTGTCTTTCCAGATTTGTTAGTACATTATATTCCTTTAAAAAAAGATGTAGCACACTTGTATTCCCTTACAGTATATTTACTATATCATGAAACAGATTTCAGTAATTAAAATACTAAATTTACCAAATGGAACTATATTAAAGGGGAACAATCTGAAGGGTGAAACAAAATATAATCTCCAATAAAACTTCTGGTTTAATCCCCTTGAAATGAAGAACTTGCCTTTTGGGGAGCACATTTTTTGTTTGGTTGTTCTCTATAAAAATATCAACAATGATAACTGACAAATTGTCAATGAATTTTAACTGAAAATGTCAACAATGATAACTGACAACAATGTTCAATGACTTTTAACTGACAATGTGAACAATGATAACTGACAAATTGTCAATGAATTTTAAATGACTATGTCAACAATGATAACTGACAATTGTCAATGAATTTTAAATGACTATGTCACCAATGATAACTGACAATTGTCAATGAATTTTAAATGACTATGTCAACAATGATAACTGACAATCGTCAATGAATTTTAAATGACGATGTCAACAATGATAACTGACAACAATTGTCAATGAATTTTAAATGACGATGTCAACAATGATAATTGACGGCGAAACCGTTGCTACTCACCTGAACGGCTATGACCAAGGGAGACCAGCCAAGTTTTTGAGCCCTAGCAACCTCGTTTTGGGCCAATGTTCTCTGAGATGATGACCATGACCCTCTTGTTGATACAACAATCAGGCGGTTGTTGGTGTAAAATGGCGGGCTCCTAACCATCTCGAGACCAGAATACGTCAGAGATTCAGACTTGGGGGTGGAACAATCAAATTCGCATTGAAATCTTAACAACATCGTCAACATATGTTAGCAGTGGGAACAATGTTTTTTGTGAGAATTGTTTATTTTATTTATTTTTTTTAATTCTGGGCGTTGAAAACAGTAAATATAAAGAAATCTAAATTTTAACAAACTTCTAATGTTCCATTATTATTTTTTTGTACAGGAGAGAGTGAGCTGGAAGTGTACTCATTATGACAATAATAATGAACAAATTAAAAATAGATGCAGGTTAAATATAGAAGGCAAGAAACACTTTAATGCAGCGGTTCTCAACCTGTGGGTCGCGACCTCTTTGGGGGTCGAACGATCCTATTACATGGGTCGCCTAAGACCATCGGAAAACACATATAATCTACAGTTATGAAGTAGCTATGAAAATAATATTGTGGTTAGGGGTCGCCACGACGTGTGGAGCTGTATTAATGGGTCACGGCATTAGGAAGGTTGAGAACCACTGCTTTAATGGGACGTCGAGTTTGAAAGGCCCTAATTACGCTTTGAATGTAGGATCTTTTATAATCAATATTCCCTGTGTTTTTTTTTTGTTGGTTTTTTTTGATCTGTTAATGTCAAAAAATGGTTCAACAATACGATGAAGCTTGCAAACAAAAATAATTGTAAGAGATTGCTCTGGTGTTAATTTTTTAGCTTAATCTGGTGGTCATTTGATGTTGCTCTGGTGGTAATTTTTTAGCTTAATCTGGTGGCCATTTGATGTTGCTCTGGTGGTAATTTTTTAGCTTAATCTGGTGGCCATTTGATGTTGCTCTGGTGGTAATTTTATGATCTTAGTCTGTCAATAATTCTATGAGCTTACTCTGAAGGTAATTTTGTGATGTTGCTCTGGTGGTAATTTTATGATCTTAGTCTGTCAATAATTCTATGAGCTTACTCTGAAGGTAATTTTGTGATCTTTTCTGTAGGTAATTTGATGAGCTGCCCTGGTGGTAATATCACAAAAATTTATATATATTTTTAAATAAAAACATTTTACTTTTCGCGACTTGTTATACTCATTAGCAGCCTCATCTTACTTTTAAGCTGGTATTTCGTCCTATTAAATAAGTGTAATCTCTCGCCATCATGGGACTGGTTCCTTCTGGTATTATCACAGTCTGATGACCCGCATCACTGTATCCATACGCGCCGATCCTAAGATAATTTTTTTAAAGTACATCATAAAGAAAGTCAGTTAAATGAATGTCACTTCAATAAAGGTTTTAATTTAATGAGAGGCTGGTGTGTTAACTTTGTGGTAGCAAGCTATCTGTGTTCATTATTTTGTGAAAAGATTTCTTGTTCAAATGTAAATCATCTTAATTAAATCTTTTTTTTTTTAAAAACCCGAACTTTCGTCCATTTTCTAAATTTTTGGTTTAAATATTTTTTGTTTCTTCTTTTTTTTTTTTCCTTATTACCTAAATGTGTTTCTAGAGTTGGCGATGATTCGATTGGCCAACAAGCTGTCCACTGCAGACTTAAGGATGTTGAATTTGGTTTCCTGGTTGTCTGGCTCATCAGACGCGGCCAGTCTGGCAGCCTCGCTTTCATCCAACAGCAAGAGTATCTCTGTTGGCTGACATACTGAAGACAACTCCAAGATTTCAAATATGCTTGTAATTTTGCTCTATTTAAAATATACTTGTAATTTTGTTCTATTTAAAATATAATTGTAATTTTGTTCTATTTAAAATATACTTGAAATTTGTGTTTTACCTACAAGTATGTTTTTTATTTTTTTAATCAAAAATATACTTGTAATTGTGTTCTTTAAAAAATATACTTGTAATTTTGTTCTATAAAAAATATACTTCTTGTTTTTGTTCCATTTATAATATACCTGCATTTTTATTTTATCTACAAATATACCGGTACTTGTTATGTTTACTTAAAATATAGTTAAAATTTCGTTATATTTAAAATATATTTGTAATTTTTTATCTATTTAAAATATTTTTGTAATTTTTATTATATTCAAAAAAATACTTATAATTTAAAGAAATTGTGTGTGTGTGTGTGGGGGGGGGGATTTCTTTATTAGCTAAAAGTCTGAATCGTAGCCCAATGCCCTAACTCTGATGGTTCTAACTCTGATGGCTCTAACTCTGATGGCTCTAAATCTGATGGCTCTAAACCTGGTGGCTCTAACTCTGATGGCTCTAAATCTGATGGCCCTAACTCTGATGGCACTAAGTCTGATTCTATGTAAGTTTGTTAAGAACATAGGATAAACGGGAAACTATCAACAAACCGAGAAGGTTAACTATCCGCAAACCTGAGGATGGAAACTATCAACAAACCCTGATGAGGGAAACTATCAACAAACCTGAGGTCAAGTCCATTCTTTCAGTGGTCCTTCTTGAACTGAACACTTGCGTCACTGTCTCTAGAGTAGCTTGCATGACACAGATGATACTAGCAACCAAGCCATCTAAATGGGAGGCAAGCCTTGTGTATCCTCTGCCTTCCCCGTCATCCAGAACGACTGGAGTTAACCCTCCATTAACCATGGTCAACTCTTCCATGTCTAAGGGATTCCTTCCCTGAAATTATGAAGAAATGGGAGATAATATTGAAGTGAAGTATTCAAGCTTTGTAGTCTCCTCTCAGTAACTGCTCGACTCAAGGTTTAGAATTGATATTGATTATTTTAAACATTATTTTTACTTATTTGAATTCGAGATTTGATTCGTGACTTGTTGCATGGTCATAAAGACCACGTGATCTTTAACGCCGAGATAGCTTTGACACCAAGTCATCTTAAACGCCAAGTGATCTTTGATGCCAAATTTTGTTTGACGCCAAGTGATCTGACACCACGCGATCTTTGACTTCAAGTTATCTTTGAAGCTAAGTGATCTTTGGTGTTAACATATCTTTGGTATTAAATTATCTTTGGGCGCCAAATGATCTTGACGCCTAGTGATCTTTGTCGCCAAGCTATGTTTGATAACAAGTGGTCTTCGACACAAATTGATTTTTGAAAACAAGAGATCATTGAAACCGAGTGATCATTGAAACTAAATGATATCGACCTCAAGTGATCTTTAAATCCAAATGATCTTTAAAGCCAAGTGATCTTTAAAGCCAAGTGATCTTTAAAGCCAAGTGATATTTAAAGCCAAGTGATCTTTAAAGCCAAGTGATCTTTAAAGCCAAGTGATCTTTAAAGCCAAGTGGTATTTAAACCTAAGTGATCTTTAAACCCAAGTGATCTTTAAAGCCAAGTGATCATTGACGCCACGCACAAGAACAAAGGAGCAATCAAAACAGTTTCCTGAGCACTTTTTCCAGCTTGAGGCTATGCCTGGTAGACAAACCTGGTTAGCAGTGGCAAGTGGCCTCCAGACAAGCTTGGAACTATGCCTGGTAGACAAACCTGAACAGCAGTGGCAAGTGGCCTCCAGCCAAGCCTGGGACTATGCCTGGTAAACAAACCTGGACAGCAATGACAAGTGGCCTCCAGCCAAGTTCACGAACTCTCTGGATCTCCTTGTCCGCCAAAGATCGTCTGCTTGATGAATTCGATCCCATGGAAGACACAATGATGAGACGGTTGTTATCGTATTCTGGGCGTCTCTGAATGGCCTGCAGTCCACGATGCGTCCATGACCCGGCCTGATATGGAGAAGTATGCATATTGAACAAGTCTTATTTTGTTTGCCGAATGGGTGATATTGAGTTGATAGCAACATTGGAAATTTCAACACAGGCTTAGTGTGTCAGAGTGCACCAAGGACCTCAATGGGACATAGGCGCCATCTTTCTCAAACTCATTTCAACCAAGAATGATGCGCACAACTGTGCAGTGTGAGGAGCCATTAACTCATGTCTGTCATGAGCATAGACTCAGTGTGAGGAGCCATTAACTCATGTCTGTCTGTCATGAGCATAGACTCAGTGTGAGGAGCCATTAACTCATGTCTGTCTGTCATGAGCATAGACTCAGTGTGAGGAGCCGTTAACTCATGTCTGTCTGTCATGAGCATAGACACAGTGTGAGAAGCCATTAGCTCATGTCTGTCTTTCATGAGCATAGACTCATTGGCATCGTGGAGTCGGTTACTGTCAATGACATTATCTAAGTAGGTCAGATAATGGTCATATTTTACTCATGACAAATTTGAATTTTTATCGCAGGATCATAACACATATTTTCATTGACACTATTGTTACATGTGTCAATGAGACTATTGTTTCATATGTCAATGACACTATTTGTTTCATATGACAATAACACTATTACGTTACTTATGCATGTTACATATTGTTGCTATTTTGTTAGTTGTGTTAAAAATTAATATTATATTTATAAATCGTAAATAGGCTCGTTGTCTACGTTAGTGTTAGGGTTATGGTGAGGGTTAAGGTTAGGGTTAGGGTTAGGGTAGCCTGGTTGCGAAACTCCTTTCAAGGCCCTGGATGAATTGATAAAACATTATCTCATTGGAATATTACTGAATATGCAACGTCGGATTGAGGCCAAAATTCGAAGTTAATGGTAAGCAATAAATAAGTATTTATGTGAAGGAAATCCTAATACGATAATGGCGTCTTTACTTAGCAAAATATCTGAGCCAACAGATAATCATTTTATAACAGATAATCCTCTTATAACAGATAAACAGTGGTATTTGATTAAGAGAACTAAAACCTTTGAACTTCATCATAGTTTCAAAAGTCTTTACACTGACCTCGGTAGTTAAATCCACTCACCGATGTCCCTTTAGCAACAAGATGTGTCAGAGTTAAGGCTTGCAAAGGACTTGTACCTAGAGGAACAATGGTTTCTCCCGACCGCGTACTGCTGTACCCGAAGATGCCAACTCTGTTTGGATACGATGAAATCAATGAAAACCAAAAGTTAATTATACTTATATCTGGGAATTTGTAAAAGGGTGATAATATTTCAAACACCATCCTCAGGAAACATCAGGTCTTTGAAATCATCGGTTAAAATTTCACAATCTGATTTTTTGACTCAAAGAATGACCTATATCAACAATTAAGAGATGTCATTAAGTCAAATTATAAATGTCCTTATTTTGAAAGCTAAATGACTCTCTTTTCTTCCAATCTCACCTTATTTGATTAGGACTGTCTACTATTAAAGGATTAAGAAGGAATCTGTCTAGTGCCACCTTTACCAGGTTAAAGTAGGTCATGGAGTCGTAGATGTTGTCAGTGGAAGCAAGCAGAGCCGTCTCTGATTGGTCCAACAGGAAGACGATTTCAGTTGGTGGACAGACTATCAAACATAACCAAAGGGAGGATTTAAAAAAAAAAAGTATTGAATGCAATTTGAATTAAATTCTAAGTTGTCACTCAAGTACCCCAAGCCTACAGTATTAATATGATCGCGTTCACTGTCTCATTCATTCATTAGGCAAAGCAATCAGTTTCACCAAATGTAAAGACCACTTATTAAAATGAAATTATAACGTTTTGCTCTGTGATTGTTTAAATTTTTTCAAAGGGTGGTTTTTTTAGAGTTAAAAAAACATTAATTTAAGTAATAATTATTTGAATATTGTACAACAGGGGGGTGGGCAAAGTTTGGCTCGTGAGCCTATTGTGGCTCGCGCCTCCGTTTGTAATGAATGGCTCGCGCTCCTTTTAAAAGAATAATTAATTAAAGATAATCATAAAAATGGAGAACTATTATTTTTTATAAAAAAAAAGAAGGCTCTGTTACACAATACCATAGAAAGGCTAATCTAAATCATTTCCAACAGGACAGTGAACGCTAAAGCACACGAACTACGCGATAAATATCAATATTTGAGTTCAGATCACATGAATGGACAATCCAAAGTTAGGAAAAAAGTTTCAATTTCCGTATGTCCTAAACGTAGAAGGTGTCAATTTTTTAACACCGACCTGCGTAGTCTCTAATGGTCAAGTAAAATAATATTGAGCATATTTATTTTTAAGCCCCAAATGCCAGTGTGATGAGTGCAATAAATAAAATACTCTCTAACCGTGTTGGGTGTCAGCCAGGGGTAAGAATATGTGTAGTGCCATGATGTAAACTAGAGGTCGCATTTTTTCACCCTAGAAATTGACCTGAAACACAATATTAGTCATTTTTATTAGAAACAACACTGTACCACAATAATAGCCATTTATAGTATGCATACTTTGGTGTTATAATAGAGAAGAGTGAAGACGTTCACTTAAATTCAAGTAACATTATGTGGCCTGTTAAACTCTTAAATTCAAGGTTCTAACGTTGGGCTATTGATAGCCTTGTTTATGATTTCATCGATATAATAAAAACAAATCTCTTTAATTTTAAATAAAAATATCAAAATATCAACCATTACCTCGAGTTTGGAATGAGTCCTCCTAACCAACAGCACGCATCTGGCATATATACATTTCAAGAATTTAAATACCCAAGACTTTCAAATAAAAGTTTTTTAAAAACCCCAGCATCTCTTTTATCTTAAAACTAGGTATAAATTATTTTTAAGGGGAAAAAATCCGTCATGCGTGAGTCACAGTCAAGGTCTGATTGACCGCTGTAAAAATAAGAGCTGCACCATCCAAGACAGCTACACCATCTTTAATGAGGTCATGAGCTCTGTGAAGTGGTGTGTGCTCAGCTAACTTAGCAGCATGTCATCTCATTGAAGTGTTCAATTATTTTCAACTCTGTCTGTACTGGATTGTGGCGATGAGTGGATGAGTGCATGAGTGGATGGCGCACATCTGAATTTGGGAAATTCCAGGCAAGTGTGCGTGGGGTTCGAATCCAAGTTGAACATATGCAAATTAAATGCTGTATGTAAACAAATGACGTCACAGCTCCGATCACTGGCAATCAAAGGGTAAACGTGTTGACAGTCTAGAGACGGCTCAAATGTTAAAAATGGTTTATTTTTAGCCACGTCATCTCATTCAAATCCACCCCCCGCCCCCCGCCCCCAAATGGCAACCTAGCCGCAAATGGCACACAGAATAGATAAGAAGGAATGGATCACATGGATGGTCTGTCGATGTCATGGATTCTTTCATTCTTTGGTTTATTTTAATTCTATTTTTATTTGCGTGTGTGTGTCTGTGATTAAGTGCGGTCAGTTGTGAATAGGTGCGGTTAGTTGTGAATATGTGTTTTCAGTTGTGAATATGTATGGTCAGATGTGAATATGTGCGGTCAGTTGTGAATATGTGCTGTCAGCTGTGAATATGTGTGGTCATTTGTGAATATGTGTGGTCAGTTGTGAATATGTGTGGTCAGTAGTGAATACGTGTGGTCAGCTGTGAAAATTGTGTGGTCAGTTGTGAATATGTGTGGTCGGTTGTGAATATGTGTGGTAAGTTGTGATTATGTGCGGTTAGTTGTGAATATGTGTGGTCAGTTGTGAATATGTGTGGTCAGTTGTGAATATGTGTGGTCATTTGTGAATATGTGCAGTTATTTGTGAACATGTGCAGTCAGTAGTGAACATGTGTGGTCAGTAGTGAATATGTGTCGTCAGTAGTGAATATGTGCGCTCATTTGTGATAATGTGTGGCTAGTTGTCAATATGAGCGGTCAGAAGAATCAATATGTTTCTGAAATTAACCTAAGTGCGATCACTCTTTGAACTCTAAAAATCAATTTTTCTGTGTGGCCGTTTAAACGCTCACTTATTTGTGACTGATTATAGTTTGAATCAGATTATATCTAAAAATAAACAGTACAACTTATGATGAGCAATCATCATTTTCCTCTTTTTTTTTTAATATGATTTCATCGTGGACGTCCTAAACTCTTCTTCCATCACAAAGAACCATATAATTTGTTTTTGTTTTTAAAGTGGTTATTTTATTTCGAGTTTTCTCTTTATGATTATGCTGTGCTACTTGTGCATAACAATGCCGTGTACTAATTCAACATGTTAATTGCCCCTCTTTAATTGATGGTTGCAGCGTTCATGCCCGCCTTCGGTTAGTGCCCACAGCGTCCATGTCCCCTTCAAATGATGCCTACAGCGTTCATGCCCGCCTTCAGTTAGTGCCCACAGCGTCCATGTCCCCTTCAAATGATGCCTACAGCGTTCATGCCCGCCTTCAGTTAGTGCGCTACAGCGTCCATGTCCCCTTCAAATGATGCCTACAGCGTTCATGCCCGCCTTCAGTTAGTGCCCACAGCGTCCATGTCCCCTTCAAATGATGCCTACAGCGTTCATGCCCCCTTCAATTGGTATCCACAGTTTTACATGCCCTTTTCGATTGGTGCCCACAGCTTTACATGCCCTTTTTAATTGGTGCCCACAGCTTTACATGCCCTTTTCAATTGGTGCCTACAGCTTTACATGCCGTTTTCAATTGGTGCCCACATTGACTTATTATGCGCTATTTCTTTGGTTTCTCTGTCTGTTTGTTAGTTTGTGTCCGTGGTCAAATGTTGCCTCTCTACTAGTGACCTATGTCCTGATCCCCAGTTGAGCTGAAATTGTGTACATGTAAACCCCCCCCCCCCAAATGGCACTACACCCCTTTATCCTTGAGTGACCTTCTGTGGATATCCCAGGAACAGAAAGGGATAGTGGCACTGGGTTTTCTTATCCATGGATACTCGTTCTCGATAACACTCAACAATGACCACACACATTTGACCACGTAACGGTCACCAATGACTTTTCACCTCTGTAACGATTTCACTCACTTCCTAGTGTCCAAGTGACCTGAAACTGTGTACTTTTCCTAAACGACAATTTAAACATATGAAATACGTACACATATGTACACATCATTGAGATTATAAGTACAAAATAAAACAATATTAAAAAAATACATTTTTAGAAAAATATGCCGAGCATAAAATAAATATCCCCCAAAACGTCAGTGACGTAACAGTCATGTGACTTAGACAAATGGGAATGATGTGGTAAGACTGAAAATGAAAGAATGTGTTTAAAGCTGGAAATATACGAACCTAAATAAAAAAATGAAAAAAGGGGGGGGGGGCTATTTGGTATTCTTATAAATTGTGTTACATGAATGCATATTTTGTCAAGTTTTTTGAGTGGCAACCTGCTCCTATGGAAATCTGCTAAGGTGACAAACCTGCGCAGATGGCCACCTGCTCCGTGTAAACCTGCTCATGTGTAAACCTGCTCATGTGGCAACCTGGTCTAGTGACTATGTTCTCTTGTAGTTTACTTAGATATCTTAAGAAACCTTATCTAGTGACTTCTGGCCGATTAGCTGCTTCCATTGTGCTGTCCGCCCCTGTGATGGCGTTACCCGTTGGGGTCGGCAACGCCCCCTTCACACACACACCCTTCCCGCTAGTGACGCCACTGGTCATATGCATCCCTAACAAAACATGTTTTCAAAACAAACAAAAAACAACTTGTGATTGGTTTTCGCTGATGGGAATTTCAGAAAGCAAAAGTTAGATATCAGTTGATCTGGAAGTGGTTCTACCTTTGTCGGAAAAAAAAAACATTTCTCAGTGTTGATCGAAAACACGACAAAGGGTGGTTTTTTTTTTCAATCATGCTGTATTGATTCGAAGACAACGCTGACCCTACTCACCGTGTCAGATGGCAGTGAGGCAGGCATAACCATGACAGCAAGGCTCGCGTCAGTGCCCTGGGTGTGGCTCGAGTACTGCTGACGTTTGTTTGGACTGCTGGTGGCGTCAGAGTACGGTAAGACTTTGTAAATAACACGTTCGATGCCCGGTGATCTTTCAGACGTGTATTTCTACTTTACACCGCATCTTTCAAACTTCTACTTTACACCGCATCTTTCAAACTTCTACTTTACACCGCATCTTTCAAACTTCTACTTTACACCGCATCTTTCAAACTTCTACTTTACACCGCATCTTCTACTTTACACCGCATCTTTCAAACTTCTACTTTACACCGCATCTTTCAAACTTCTACTTTACACCGCATCTTTCAAACTTCTACTTTACACCGCATCTTTCAAACTTCTACTTTACACCGCATCATTCAAACTTCTACTTTACACCGCATCTTTCAAACTTCTACTTTACACCGCATCTTTCAAACTTCTACTTTACACCGCATCTTTCAAACTTCTACTTTACACCGCACCTTTCAAACTTCTACTTTACACCGCATCTTTCAAACTTCTACTTTACACCGCATCTTTCAAACTTCTACTTTACACCGCATCTTTCAAACAAGTGTATGTGTGGGTTTTTAGATTTAAATATCTTAAAGTGAAATGACAAAGGTGGTGTTGTCGACAGCCGCATAGGACTGTCATGGGAAATTGGTAAGAAATAAAATAAATAAGTTGAACTTTGACCCCAAATCCAATCAGTTGAACTCTGAACCAAAATCCAATCAGTTGAACTCTAACCCCAGCTCCAATTCTGTTTAATTGCTCTTTTTTAAATGTTTAATTTATGTTTGGTTTAGGTTTGCTTCTCTGTCTGTTTGTCTGAATGAAGTACTGGAACCTTAGAGTGTCTGTCTGTCTGAATCGAGTACTGGATCCTTAGATTATCTGTCTGTCTGAATCGAGTACTGGAACCTTAGATTATCTGTCTGTCTGAATCGAGTACTGGAACCTTAGATTATCTGTCTGTCTGAATCGAGTACTGGTACCTTAGATTATCTGTCTGTCTGAATCAAGTACTGGTATGCTATTTTGTGTGTTGATGTCCCTCTACTTTCAATCTGAGTTACACACATTGCCAGGTGGGTCACATGTTTAAATCCGATTTTATTTTTAGTAACACATGACTCGTTTTAATTTTATTTTTAGTCCATTTTATGAAACCATGTAACCATGGTGACAACTCGGGATACTAACCAGGGGTGCTAACCAGGGGTGCCATCCAGAGATGGCAACCGTACGTGACATTTAAGGGAAGTTCGAGAAAAATGTGAGCAAAAATGACTTGTCCAAAAATGACTCGTCCAAAAAAAAAGACTTGTCCATAAAATGACTTGTCACTCAAATTATTTGGGATGTACATACACAATAAGATATTTTGGCCCCATTGTGTTCAAGCAAATACAAAAGCGAAATTTCAGTTCTTGCGATTTCTACTCACTATACCATGAAATATGGCTCAATTTGCTGCCAAGCCCTCGTGGTGACGGTCAAATGACGTAGAATGTCATAGAATGTCATAGAATGTCATAGAATGTCATAGAATGTCATAGAATGTCATAGAATGTCATAGAATGTCATAGAATGTCATAGAATGTCATGAAATTTCATAAAAGATAGATTGTCAGACACTGATATGGAATGACATAGAATGTTATAGAATGCTATATAAGAACATTGAAAAATAAAGAATATCATAGAATTACATATAATTTCATAGAATGAAACATAATGTCATTGAGTGTCATAGAATGTCATTGAATGTTAGAGAAACATACACGGGTACATCATAGTTGTAAGCATAAGGATGTTTTAATTTTTCTTTCTGACTTTGTAAGTTTATTTTTTTAAATTTTCCATAAAACATTTTTTTTCCGGTCATAAAAGTGCCGTTTAAGAACACTTATTCGTAAAAGTTATTATTATTA